ATTCATATTGATATCACCAAGAATCACAAACTCTTTTGATTTTATGCCTTTTATAATGTCAGTGAGCTGCGCTAAATAGTTAGTTGAATTAACACTTGGAGGTTTATATGTAACAACCGTTACTGAAAGGTGATTTGTAAGCTTGATTTCTAATTGCAGAGATTCAGACTCAKTTGACAATTCTATTATAGAATGTGAGTATTTCTTGTGAACATAAACTGCAACACCACCTCCAATTATCAAATTTGGAACAAGGGTAGATAAAATAATGTTCTTCATGGCAGATTATCTCTTTAAGGGGTCACTAGAAAAACTCGGGTGATTTACTTTGATCCTCTTTTCAAAAAATTGTCTCTTCAAAACGCATCAACAAAAATTTAAAACTCGTAGACGAGGCTGTAGCTAACTACCTGATGTCAGCACGCTTTGTTGAAATTCATAGAAATAACGAAGCAGGAGGAAATAACAAGCAAATGCACCGAGCAGCCTTGCAAAATCTGGTCACAGCAGTTTGGGAAGAAAATGGCAGCAGCTGCTAACGAAATGTCAACATCCCTACTTTCTGGGTCCAACTGTCTGGCACTGCTGATAAGACTCGCAAAGCTGTGCTGCAGTTCAGAAATGAACTGATTTTGTGTTTCTGCAGATATCAAGGCCCTCTGTTGGAGGACGGAGCTCTGGATTCCTCCGTCAGTGGAGGAGCAGCATCACCGGAGTTCACAAAGCTCTGCGCCTGGATCGTCTCTGAGCTCAGACTTTACCATAAACTGGAAGAAAATGTCCACGCCACTAACTGTAAGATGGGTTTAACCCTTCGGAAGGTAGCTTCTGATGGCGGGTTAGGATGACATTTTGGGTTTGGTTTTTTCTGTCCGTCCCAGGTCCAAGTGAGGCCGAGAGCTTTCAGCTGGAGATGAGTGGTCTACTTTCTGAGCTGGCGTGTCCTTACGCTGTCCTCACCACCCAAGACATCACCCAGAGGTTCCTGAGCAGGAAGGACTGTCTGCTGCTCCTCAGTATGAACTTCAGAACATACAACTAACTCACTTGTTTCTTTCCCTCATTGCTTCCAGAAACTCAAACATATTTTTATTCTCTCAAATTGAAGCGCATCCTCTTAATGACTAGATCTCAAGGCATCCTGTTCTGCTCCCACCTCCCGCAGCCTTTTTAGTGTCGGAGTTGGAGGCGTCCAGGATGATCCTGGTCCACAAACCTCAGAAGAAAGCCCAGGAGTCTGGCAGCCCCGCCTTCCAGGAACTGAAGGGGATCTGCATGACCCTGGGCATGTCCAAACCTCCACCCAACATCACCATGTTCCAGTTCTTCAGTGGGATCGAGAAGAAGGTCAGTCAGACGTGTGACGGAACGACACAGCAGAATTCTAACTCACTTTTAGATCCTCGTCGGTTTTAGGTTTCTTATCTGCTGTTTGATCCACAGCTGTAGCCTGAACATGGCTAGGCCACTTCATAACTTCTTTAGCCTCTCTTCTGTTGCCTTGGTTGTGTTTTTTCCAGATCATTATCATGAAAGAAGACTGCCCCCTCCCCACGATCTTCTGTTTTCTGGCTGAGGGAAAAAGGGTTTTGCCTAAGATTTTAACAATACATGGCTCTGTCCTGAGGCAGGAGCACCGTGTAGCTGCTGCAAGATTTGTGTTCATTAAAGCTCAGCGTGTCACCACAAGGTGTTCTTGGAGACTTTGACCCCAACTGACTTTAGATCATTAACAACCTCTGAGTAATTGTGAGCTGATCTCTCATCTAAGCTTGGGAAGTAAGACAATATTTTGGTATTAAAATATGGAGACATATTTAATAATAACAGGTTTATACGTAGTCATGTCCGGTGATGCGCCAAATTTACACAAGGCTGCTATGAAAACTGGGGACATAATAGAAGACGCCACTCCGCTTCCATTTTTGAATAATCACACCAACAGTTGTTGGTTTCCCATTAAGCTTTGTGTTTTTTTTATTTTTTTATTTTCTGCTTCTCCATTAAAATGATCGAAACTTAGAAAATCAGCCAGGGATCAAACCACTTTATACACTGATGACGATCTTATAATTGTTGTTCAAGCATTTAAATGGCACACATCTTTGAAATTTTCTGTCCCAGTTGAAAGAAGCCACAAGTCGAGTTCCACCAAATTACATCGGAGAGCCCCTGATGAAGAAGCCCCTCGGACCTGTGCACTTGGTAAAAGCTAGAAACTGACACGAAAATAAAGAGACTGGAAACACTGTTCACAAAAACGACTTGCCTTTTCCCCCCCCCTATCTTCTCAGGAAAAAATCGAGGCCATAAACCAAGCACTTGTAAATGAGTATGAGGTGAGGAGGAAGATGCTGTTGAAACGACTTGACGTGACTGTTCAGTCGTTCGGTTGGTCCGACAGAGCAAAGGTACGTCACAACCTGACGGAACGCAAACGCCTGTACATCTGTTGGTGCTTTTACGCACCCCAAATCATTTTGTTAACATGTTGGTCACATTCCATGGTAGTTAAAAAAAAAAGGATGACCTTTATTGACTGTATTAAATTTGTTTTGGCATGTCTTATCTCAGACGCATGCTGAGAAGTTGGGTAAAGTGTACCAACCGCTGCGTTCTGCTCTCAGCGCCAAAAGTCAGGTTTCTGTCGCTCATCTTCTCGCTGCCCGACAAGATTTCTCCAAGATCCTTCGAACGAGCAGCGGAAAAATAAGAGAGAAGACCGCGTGTGCCATTAATAAGGTGGGTTCAGCGCAGCTGAGTGGCATGATGTTACACTTTAGGCTTTGATGTGTTACCTAAAGTCTGACCTCCACTCATAGGGTCCTATGAAATCTGTATTTATATATGTATCAGGGGTGCAATGATACAGGAAATTCACGGTTCGGTTTGATACTTTAGTCTCACGGTTCGATATCTTTTCGGTACAAAAAAGAGAAATTTCCATGCCCCTTTTAACTTGTAATTTATTTAAATTAATTATGAACATTTGTTTAACCTCAAAAGTACAGTTTTTAAATTAAATGTTGCTGAAACAGCAAGTTTCTCAGTGGGTCTGCGCTCAAACATGCAGCCTAGGTGGAGTAGTCGAACACAGATCCACTGATCCTTTAACACAGAGCATCTTCAGAAGACAAGCTGATAAAGTAAATTTTGAACATCTGTATTGTTCGATACAGCACTGTTCGATACGGTTCGATACGGATACRTRTATTGTTGCACCCCTAATATGTATGTCTTTGAAAATGAATGTAGCTGTCTTCAACATCCGTAAAACCATTCAAAATGTTCAAAAATCTTGTTCTGGTTCAGCTTTTTTTCAACTTCCTGGTGCTAATTTTAGCTACCTTTGCCTTCTTGCTTCTTTCTGCCTTTTTAGCTATCATTCTGACCTATTCTGTTAATCTTCTGCTAATTTAAAGTTTTTACACTTTCAGCTGCTTTCTGGTAATTTCAGCTGTTTTAGTGTTTATGCTCATTTTTAGCTAATTTGAGCTTTTTTCTGCTAAATTCACCATTTTATGATTATTTTAGCTTCTTGCTGCTTAATTCAGCAAACATGCTCTTTCTGTTTCTTTGTGATAAATTCAGCTACTTTTTTATAGCTCTTTTTTTTCCAGCCTTTTTTTTAATGTATTCATCAAAAATCTTTCAGCATTAAGTCTTCACGCTGCATTTTCACAGGAAATGCAAATTCTCTGGTTTTAATATATTTTCTCTCCAGGTACTGATGGGCCGAGTGCCCGACAGGGGGGGCAGACCCTGCGAGATCGAGCCTCCCCCTCCAGAGATGCCCTCCTGGCAGAAGCGTCAAGACGCCCCCCAAGGAGGAGGACACTATGGCGGAGGATACGGCGGCGGCGGCAGAGGGGGCTACGATAACTACTCTCAAGGAGGCCGTGGAGGCTATGAGAGAGGAGGTGGAGGACAGGAGGACAGGGGAGGCAGAGGAGGTGGTGGAAGAGGGGGGAAGGGACAGGGAAACTGGGGGGATGGGAGTGGAGGTGGGAGGGGCGGTTACAACCAGGGCCACTATCAGGACGGAGGAGGTCACCACGGGGGAGGAGGGAGAGGAGGATACAACCGAGGAGGCTTCCAGGATTCTGGCTATCATGGAAGTGGTGGAGGAGGAGGAGGAGGGAGTTACCACAACAGTTACAACCAAGACAGCGCGGGCTGGCACCAGGAGAGAGGAGGGGGCCGAGGAGGCCGCGGGGGCAGGGGGAGAGGAGGCAGAGGAGGACAAGGAGGTGGCTGGGGAGGCAGAGGGGGGCAGAATTTTAATCAAGGGGGACAGTTCGAACAGTTCTTCCAACATGGAGGGCAACAGTTCAGCCAGTCTGGCTTCAGTCAGGGCAGAAACTTCAGCAGCTGAAGGCAGCGTGAGGCAGCGCACCAGAGAACAGACGGGCTGAACTGTCAGAACGAGCCCTTCTGCTGAGCTTAGTAAGCTGAAACATTCAAGGACAAGCTCAGATATGCAGGTTCTCATCCATATTTTTCACACTTTGGCAGCAGACTGTGGAAGGATTGCAGTTTTTTTTTTTTGTTTTTTATCCTGGTGAAAGTGTGTCTCTTTATTTTATTTCTTTTGCCTCTGACTTTTCAAGCCCCACAGTTTTATTGTAAAGGGGTAATTGATCAGTTGAACTTTGTCGGCCTTATTTTAAAAGTTCTCCCTGAAATCATTCATTTTTCACCATGTTTTAGTGTTGGTGCACCTACTTCGTACAGGTGACTTCATTACATGTAGGTTGCACTGACTCAGACTACTTGAAAACAACATCATTCTCCAGTTTTAATTTTGTTTCTGTATGTTTGAGGAAGATATTCTGTTGCTTATTTAAAAGTTGCCAAGTTGTGCGGCTCATGAACGGCTGTGGATGTTGGGAAGGTTTGCATGGATGAGTGAACGAGCAATAAAAGTTACAAATGTGCTAAAACTCGCCTGTTCAGTGCTGTGATCATTCTTTCTACTGTTATAAAACATAATTAAATAAACATATTATAAAATGTGCTAAAGTAAGCTGCTTAAAGGTTGTTGAAATGTATTCAAAACATTTCCATACAGGCATGGGAAACAGAGTCCATCTTGTTTTAATTTCRGGGTTTTATGGATCTGGACAAAATCATTCAAATGTAATCTCAAGTGTACAAAAATGCACAACAGATTGCACCGTGCAATACGAAGCCAAAGTGGGAAACCTTTATCAACTGCTTCCACTGGATTGACGAGTGGAAAAAATATCCCATTAGTGACTAAACAACCCTTATTTTGAAAAGCTGACCCCGACCGGATGTTGTCACCAGTACTTCCTTAGTCACCATTTTAGCTAGCGAGCTCCCACACAAATGCGTGGTAAAGGAAAACAGTATTTACCTGGCAATTATTAAGTCCTCTTAATCCTCCGTCGCTGCATTTTAAGGCTCCGTCCTGCAGTGAGCCATGTACCGCCATGATCAGCCGGTCCGCCGACCACCACCACCCCCGTTCGGAGCCATGATGATGCCGCACCAACCTCCTCCTTTCAGAAACACTGGGCCTTGTCCTCCTGGACCTCCTCCGAGGCACCTACCCCCGAACCTTCCGGGGCACCTACCCCCGAACCCCGAAAGGCCGTTTTTGGCCTCGGGTAGCCATTACCTGGACAGCAGGCCGCCCAGAGGCCGCTTCGTGAGCGTACGTACCCGGTGCTAAAGAGCTAGCTTCACAGGCAAATAGTCTTTGAATGTTCCAGTTAGCTGCTGGTGAAACCTCTCTGTTAAACTGATTTTTGTGCATTTATCAGAAGGGTTGCAACTTGCAATCAATGCTTTGCCTCTATTTTGTTTCACTGTGKGCTACAAAAATATTCACCCACTCTGGATGTTTTTGTTTTCTTGCCTTACAACATGAATTTAAAGGTGCCTATTGCAAATTTTGATATGAAAACATTAATRATAATAATAAAAAAGGGTGCAATATGAAAGCGTTTATTGCAGTAGTTTTTCCAGATAAATGTGTTTCCACATTCAAATGTTTACAATAAGGCTCAGTTCAGAGTTGCCAGATAGGAAGTTACATAACACCGTACTGGTGCTTTAAAATTATTATTTTGTTGATATGCGGAAATACGAAAAATACATAGTAGTATACCTGGCAACACTGAACTGGCTGACTCTACCAAAGCTTCAGTCATGTCACTAACAGTAGATTGGTGTGTGGTAGCCTGTAGGTTAAACAATTATGGTAGATTTAGACAAGTATAGAATTTCAATGAAGGCATTTAGGCAGAAATATAGGATAACACAGAAGAACGAGTACTACAATCAGTATTAACTTCTGTTCAGTCACTTCAGCTCTTCTGTAAATGAACAAATGCATGTGGTGTTTCAGTATTTTGAGCAAGTTTATTACTTAGAATAAAATGAAAATCTGCTTAAATTTAAAGTTGTAAGGCGAGAAACTAAAAAGATTATCAAATTGGATCAATACTTTTTTTTAAACTGTATTTTCAAGATTATATTAAATTAAATCCCAAAGTGCTTTAACTTTATAAAAATAGATCATATGAAAAAACATTTTTAATTAAAAGCATGTTGCATTCTTGAATATATATATATATATATATATATATACTGTATATTTGTGTGTGTGTGTTAGCATTAATATTGTGAACTTAGTCATATTATTGGACGTAAAGTCAAGAATGGTATGAGTTAGCTCAAATACTACTATGTTGCTACTTTACATACAAACAAAAATCACTTACAGTTTAGTTTTACTATTTTTATTCTTTGAGTTAAGACTTAATTTCACACCTATTTTTAAGTCATTTTCCAACTATGTAGTATTACTGTTTACTTATTTGCTGCCTTTCTGCTTGGAAAGGCTTGTGATGYTGATATAATTTAGATGATTTTAAGGGTTTCTAAGGCATTTTAATTTTCTTTTTAGTTTAAAATACTGCTTTTTATTTTTTCAAAGGAGCTGCTCAAACTAAATATTACATGCTCATTACCTGGGTAACACTAACTTTATTGTAAGAAAATTTGAAGTGTATAAGAATCTACAAAGTTCTGACCAATCACACAATACTTGGCTCATACCCTGCAAGAAAAACATTCTAGGAGTTTGTTCACAGAACAGGTTCTTGGAGCTCACATGAGAACAAAATTCTAAAGTTTTCACAACGCAGCTACAAGTGCAACATCCTGCGGAGCACAAATCAGCCTTAGTACAAGTAATAATCATTTAAAGATGTTTTTGCAATATTTTGTAGGTTTATCTTGTATAATAAGGTCTGGGTAACACATGAAGGGCCACTCAACTAACTTACAGTAGTTAAATTTGATAAAACGAGTTAGAAAGTTAATATGTTTACACATCTGTTTCCAAAGTCAAGTTCATTTGTGCTTTTTAGATACAATGGAGGCTTTAAGTTTTTTTTTTTAAATTGAACATGGATTGGAGTCTGCATTYTTAATGAAAGCCCCTCAACAATAAGGGTAAGTTGTCAATAATTTTTTTGTTTTGTTTTGTTTTAGCTGAAATAAAGTAGCCAGAAATGTTTGCTAATAGGGCTTTTTTAAAACTTTGTTTTAGAATTAAACTTTTGTTCAACTCAAAAGACCACAGTAGTTCCAAAAGTGATCAGTTTAGAAATATTTTAAGATKAGTTAAATTCAGTATTCATGTGAAATATTCTGTAGATTTTGTTGTAAATGACTCTTGACTTTGCTTATTATATTTTACAGGATAAAAAGAAATCAAAAGGATAAGCTAGATTTTGAAGATGTGGAAAGTTTTTATTGCTGGAAAAGAAGAAACGTTTTCAGAGACAGGAGGAGAAGGAATACAGATGATCTGCTGCAACTTAGATTTCACTTTWTTACTTTTATGAAACATTTGATAAATGCATATATCTAAAGAGGTGTGTAGAATGTGAGAACATACTTAAGGTATATATTTAAATATAAATATTATCCTTTTTACCATAGTAAGGAGAGCAAATGGCCCCATTACCAGTGATGCAACGTTAAAATTTTAATAAAAGGAGGACTGTGACCTGGCTCTCTACAGTCTGTTGATGAATGACATTTTCACTGATTGAACTTCATAAATTGGACTTGTAAAGCCTGTTGTGATGTTGATTGGTTTAATTGTACTGGTATACTGTTGTGCAGCAGTCCTCATTATGTGGAGTAAAAAAAARGCTACTAATAGGGTGTAAGCGTTACTGCAAAGCCATTTAGTGTGATTTTGTCCTGGAGTTTTATTTGCTGGTCGATTGTTAAACCTTTAACATTTCTTGMTGTCTTTACGATCTGTATTTTTTWATTTAAAWTTTTTTATRAGAGGTACTGTTRTTACGTTTTGAAACATTCATCTTGGAATGTTCAAGTTTGATCAAACGAGAAAAGCTTCCTAMATACATTTTTAATGACGGACTATAAATTATAGTTTTTGCTTCTTTTTTCTAACGGTAATATCAATCAGTTACATAATAGTTTATGTATACACAAGTGCTGGTCAAAAAATTAGAATATCATGAAGAAGTTGATTTATTTCAGCAATTCCATTCAAGAAGTGAAACCAGTATATTTTATTACACACAGACTGATATATTTCAAATGTTTTTTTTTATTTTGATGATTTTTACTGACAACTAATGAAAGAACTCAAATTCAGTATCTCAGAAAATTAGAATATTGTGAAAAGKTTCAATACTGAAGACACCTGATGCCACACTAATTAGCTAATTAACTCAAAACACCTGCAAAGGTCTTTTAAATGGTTTCTCAGTCTAGGCGACACAATCATCATCATCTTAATTTTGATTTTTCTATCTGGATTACGGAKATGCATCAGAACATGCTGACTGGACTGTTCAAAAGACGACCATTGACATCTTTCACAARGAGGGCAAGAGTTCATTGCTAAAGAGGCTGGCTGTTCACTGAGCTCTGTGTTAAAGCACATTGATAGAGAGGTGAAGGGAAGGAAAGTATGTGGTAGAAAAATGCATTCAAGCAATGGGGATAACTATCCTGGAGAAGATTGCGAAGCAAAACCCATTCAAAAATGAGGGGGAGATTCACAAAGAGTGGACTGCAGCTGGAGTCAGAGCTTCTAGAACCACACAGACATATGAAAACATGGTTTCAGCTGTCGCATTGTGTCAAGACACTCTTGAACAAGAGACGGCACCTGAAGTGTCTCACCTGGGCTGAAGACAAAAAGGAGTGGATTGTTGCTGAGTGGTTTAACGTTATGTTCTCTGATTAAAGTAAATTTTGCCAGAGTCTGCAGGAAGAAAGGAGAGGCACAGAATCCACCTTGCTTAGGTCCAGTGTAAAGTTTCCAGTCAGTGATGGTTTGGGTCCATGTCAGCTGCAGGTGTTGGTCTGCTGTGTTTTCTGTGGTCCAAGGTCAACGCAGCCGTCTACCAGGAAGTTTTAGAGCACTTCATGCATACGAGTTTCCCTTTTTGAATGGAATTACTGAAATAAATCAACATTTTCATGATATTCTAATTTTATGAMCAGCACTTGAATTCATTTTACATCTAACCTGTTGTACTGTCTTCATTATGTATGATTTGCTTGTAACAAGAAATCAATTAATGTGCAAATTATTTTTAGAGGCCTAAATTCTTTTGTACTGTCGTTCTTTATGGTGGTGTGCTTTTTTTCTTCTTTTGCTTGATCACCTCTAAGGTACTAACAAACACACACAGTTTGCTAATAAAAACTAATATTACAAGAGYATCAGATTTAAAAATCTTAGCAATGTTATACTTTAAAATTATTTATTGTTTATTATTTATTATAAAATGTACTTGTGGGTTCAGAGAGTAATCAGCCCCTTGCCACTCTTTGAGATTCTGTAATGTTGCAGCCTGATACAACCTTTCTCTCAATAACTCAGTACCCCATACTGACAGTGGAAAGAAATCAGTTTATTTAAAAAATAACAGTACAAAAATAAATTACATTTTCCTTAATTATTCAGTYCCTTTACTCAGAACTAAGCTTAAGCAGCTGTGTCAGCCATGAGCCTTTGAACCAGTTCTCTCAGGCGAGGAGAGGTTTCCATAAAGCCATATGTCATAAAACAAAAATAAGTTTTTTTCAAACATGATGTGGAGCATAAATCACAGGGCTCCACCTGAGAAAAAAWTAGATTTATTTCCTCCTCCTCCTGCAAGGGCTTCAAAATCACAGTGCGAAAAAACAGGAATTTTCAACAATCGATGTCCATAACACAGTTATGTTGCCATTGAAGTCGAACCTGAACTGATCTAGCCTCTTTATTTGTGTGTGTTTACAAGTATGTTTTTGTCTGTATTTCAGAGTTATTCTTGTTATTTTTTTATTGTGCTGGGACCGGAGTACGTTTGCTTCTAGCATGCACAAACGTGATGTYTTACCATTAAACAAAGCTAACGTTTTACCTGTCGGTGTCTCTTAGTTTAGTAGTAGTTTAGTAGCGTTCATGCTAAACTATATTTGACCTTATTATGACCCCCACATGCAAAGCATAAGCAGGAGTCATATTGTTTTCGTACGGTTTATTAATTTTTTTAATTAAGTTTTTTCAGTGATTTTTGGTCAACCGTAGCACAAAAACGACTGCACCAATCAACATGAAATTTGGCAGGACTGTAGATGAGTCCGACCTACACTGCGCCAGCCAACGGTTTTAAGATAAACCCTATATTTGAGAAGGGGGCTCCTTTCAAAGAGGGGGTGTCTGGACATGCAAAAATGGTTATAGCGCAAAAAACTATTAAACATAGGAGCTTCAGATTTATTTTGTTGTTTAGCTCTGATGAAGCTCTATCCATCAGGGCCACCAATCAGTGACCCCACCCTCCCCCCGGACCCCCAATTAATCTGAAAACGGTGTACCTGAACATACAAAAATGGTTATAGCTCAAAAACTATTAAACATAGTAACTTCAGATTTTCTTTGGTTGTTTAGTTCTGATGAAGGGCTATCCATCAGGTCAACCAATGCCCCCCCAACCCCCCAAAAAAGACCCCCACCCAAACCGCTACCATTTTGGGATGCACCTAGCATGACATTTATTAGGATTAAAGACGTCCGAGTTCTGATGCGTTTATGCGTGTGGGGATCATTAAGTTACCGCTATGCAGTATCTACGGTAGTTTCCTCCTCCTTTTCTTCAAGACCCTTATTGTCTTCTTCCACAGCTTGAGAACTGTCAACGAATCTCTGAAAAATGCTGCCGTTATTGTCCCAGGAGTTTTATGACAATTTCTTTCTTTCTTTTGTTTTTTTACACAAAGCCCCCATAGCCGCTTCCGCTAGGAGAAGCAGCTGCGGGTGTCGTCAAAATAAAAGCCATTTGATGACTTACAGTTTACACATTGATTTAATTTTCCTCCTACATTACAGTACCTGTGATGTGACTATTGAGTACATGTACATCGCAATAACGATGCTGAAACTATATCGTGTACCCCTAGTCCCCACCAGACTGTTAGCTAGACGGGTGTCAGGGCGTCATTACGACCATGGTTCCATGCCCTGTTCGGTTTTCCAACACCTCCTTTCAGCTGCCTACGCCTCAGGACGCCCTCAGGGCACTGTGCTGTTTGGGTTTGCTAATAATTAGTTGTTTTTGTTATTTTTTACACTGTTTAAATTTCATAACTATACACTGTACTCTGGGGAACCTTCAGAACTTTTCACAACCCTGACAAGACAGTCCTGTCTCTGAGCTCTACAGTAAGGCCAGTGGACTCCAGTCAAGGTGTAAAAACATTTCAGCAGAGGTCAAGAAAAACCAGGTGGAACCAGAGCTACATTTTAAATGTTTTTGTAAAATGTAAAGTATAAATTCTTATAGAAGTGTGATATTTAAATAACAGGTGTAGTTCACAGCTGTTAATGCAGCTTTCTGTGTTAATAACTTTTGAACCACAAGAGATATTTCAAATCTGATTATGGCAATTACTGAAACAATTCTGGTCTCCTTTTGATATGCTAAATGACCACCTTTCTATTGGAAACTTTTAATTTGAACTAATTTGGCAGCTTTCAAGAGGGTGGTCATGTTCTGAACAAGACCTAAGTCCCCGCACCTAATACTTGCTGAGGTACTCAGATATTTCATTTCCCCTTTTCGTTTCTGAAATGAATTTGGGTCCTCCGGCTTTTAACTCATCTTATATATTCACTTTTGTCATTATGGGGTACTGAGTGTACAATAATGAGGAAGAACAATACTTGTAACAATTGTGGCATCAGACTGTAACAATAAAAGTGCAAAAATGTACTAAGGGTGCACCAAAAAAATCAATTCTCATTTACAACTTCAGCCTCCATTTTGTTACTACATGGGATGTCATCACGCAGCCGATTCTAGAACTTGCGCATGTGCAGAAAACATCAAAACAAAGAGGAAACTACATAAATGGAGAAATGAGAGATACAACCAGCCCCGTCTTTGCTGACAACAAAGATTTGGGCTCATTTTGGTTTACACAGAATGAGTCCCTACTTTGACATCAGCTTCATTGTGTGCAAGGTTTGCAAAATGAAGATGAAGCACTTTGGGAACACGACAAATGTGTGCGCTCACATCAGTTTTGAATGAAAAATCAACTTTGAATCATAACATGGCACCAAAAATCAGAATCGAATCGAATCGTGAGATATTAAAAGATTCCCACCTGTATTCTGTACATCATGTTTGCCCAATTTATACAAAGAATGTGTGCACACACTGAGATGTTTTTTRTGCACCATACTTGGGTAAATATGATTATGAATTAAATAATTTGTGCACATAATAAAATGCAACAAATAGATTCTTAATATATTGGGGAAAACTGGATTTTAACAGATAAAATRTAGTATAAGATGAAGTGCAGACTTTAAAGTATTTATACACCAGTTCACTCCAGATTATAAATGAGTGATTTCCAAATTTGACCCTTTTTATTTTCTCTAAACGACCGAACATGAATGTATACATTTTTAATCTGAGTTAACCTAATATAACTAGGATACAACACATGTTACACTGCTCAAGTTTTATGGTGGTATATCAAGGTCCCCTCAGTAAAAAAAAAAAATACTTTTTCAAATGTAGTTTTCAAATCCGGTAAACATGTTTTTAGAAGTGATGAAAATACGCAGATTTATGCTACCTCAAGTTCAAGCAATTAAACAAGACACATTGTAACAAATAAATACTTGCAATGTTTTTATGTGTATATTTTATAGTATAAAATTAGCTTTTTACTGTTTTTTTTATTCTGTCAAGCACAGACTTGACAGTTATGCTTGGTAGGAAAAGCATGGAAAAAAATAAACTCTTGTGATAATGTTCTACGTTTTGAAGCTTCACTCTTTGTGATTGTTGCAGTTCTTTCTTGAATCTCACTATAACATGAATTCTGAATACTCTCAGCCCCACTGTAGCAACTTCTCCATAGACCGTAGTACAGTGATTGCTTTGGGAGGCAGCCAGCAAGTAGTCCCTCATGAAGAGACTCCACACCTTCACCATCACAAGACCTTGGACCATCACAAACTAGACAACAGGTATTTGTGTCCGTATATGTGTGTCTGTGTGGTAAATAATGCCAGTCAGAGCTAAAGTATTTCTGTCTTTTTTATTTGTTGTTTGAAATATGTGTCAATTGATTTCTAGTGCTGAAGCTGGTGAAGAATTCCTGAGATGCATTGCGGCCAACAAACCTCTCCCAGAATATCTAAAAGGCATGGCTTACAACCTAGCTGATGCTTTAAAGTCTGCTAACGACCTGAAAGAAGCAGTCAAGTTAAATTCTCAATTTAGCAAGCACGTACCCAGGAGCAAAAGCCGTAGCCGAAGTCGTGGTAGATCTCGAGCCAAGAGCCGGGCAAGGAGCAAGAGCCGAGACCGGAGCCGAAACAGAGGAAGGAGCAAGAGTCGGGTCCGTGCCAAAAGCACAACCAGGGCTCGCAGCAAGAGCCGGAGCAARAAGAGTTACAAACGAAGTAAAAGCAGAGTCCGAAGGTCTAGATCGCAAAGCAGCAGCAGTGAAAGGAGCTATGACAAAGAAAAGAAAAGAAAGAGGAGCCCTGACATCAGCAGCAACAGCAGTGTTGGCAGCAGTAACAACGTGACAGGAAATAGTCTATTAGAAGGACTGAAACTGGTCATCCAGAGCAAAGATTTGGAAGACCGGCTGCCCACTCTCAAAAATGCCCTCCTCAATGTTCAGGTAGAGCTTTTCATTGCTTCTGCTTCCACATTATTTTATTTACAGTTGTATTTTCAGTGCATGCTTAAATACATCAATGAAAACTAACAGTTTCTATAAACCACTGCAATGAATTTAAGATGAAATATTCAAACTGACATTTTTTTATTTAGTAGTTATTATACTTAAACATTGCTACAGCAGCCTCAGATACTGTATGTAGTTCATTCATAGCCTTTGTTACATATTCGGTATGTCTTTGAACAGTATTTAAAATTTTACCAAACTCAAATTGAAATATTAGTAATAAATTGAACTTGTAAACTTCGATCTTCTTACTTTGTTAAAAATAATCTGCTCCTGGTCTTATAACACACTTGCAATTACATTTAGATTTCTTTTAAAAATAAAAATAATTTAAAAATAAAATACTTCCTAAATACCCTAAATACCTCAAATTAAAGTCCAATAGCCTATATGCCACGGTCATTAATGACGTATTTCCTGTAAAATTCTTGCCACGCTTCCACTCCCTGCTTACTGCCTATGTTTTTAGCGTTAGCTGCTAGTACTAGTCTGTGAAAAAGTCACAAAAGTTGAAGCATCTGTGAGCTACTGGTATAAAACGTGAGTTCTGTTGTGTGTCGTTGTGTCCACTAAGCAGCAGATACGATCGAGTAGTTAGTTTTTATCCATTTTCGTCTTGATGAGGARGTGACAGCTGTGGATCRTARCGTTACAGGCAAAACTTATCTTTAGAAGCTCACRCTTGCGTTTGTAATCGGCATTTCTAACCTGAGGAAATTCAAGAGCATCAGAAATGAGAAGACAGAGTTTACAAAAGGGAGATGTACATTTATCCCCTTTTACTGCCAAGACCGAGAGAAGAAAGACCACCTCCACACGACGGCTAGCAGGAAGCTAACACAGCAGCCGGTACAGGTAGGTGTGTGTGCGTGACTTTGTCATGAGTTTTATGCAAAAATAAAACCTTGTTAGAGTGTATATAACCGCGTAGACTAAAGCCGAGTGACGAGCGCGCCCCTCCCCCTCCTCCCCCGAGCACCGAGAGCAGCAGAAACTCCGCCTGATAATCATTACGTTTTCAGTTCACTAACGTCGGGGAAAACGATCCAAACCAAAYAAGTAGCCCATCAATTTAAAGCCCAGACTCTGCTCTTTCCAACAATATAAGTGTCACAGCTCTACGTGAAAAATTCACGGAACAAGCAGCCACGGAATAGTGAAAAAGGCTAAATTCTGGAACCATAAACACAAACATCTTTCCTTTGTTTTTATGGCTTTAATTCACTTTGGAGTGATTTTTTTTCCATTTGGCTGGACATTTACATCTCCTGTGTTAATGTTGGTACATGTAATATGCTAATTCTGTACTGTGGAGATCATTAAGAGTCGTCGGGTGAAAAAAATCTTTCGCTAACACTGTGTTGACCGTGAACCGGAAGTGTTGGGAGTGGCATCCTGGGCCGGATGTCCGTGGCATATAGGCAATTCCTCTACTTCAGGAAGGTGTGAATGGAAGCTGACTAAAATAAATTCAGGGCTCAACTGCTAACAGCTGACAGTTGCTGTGAATAAATACTTAATGGAGATAATGTTTTCCTTTGATAATCTAACAACACAAATGCACCCCGTAATGAAAATATTAACAGCCATTGTTTGATTGCAGTGATTGCCTCAAAAGGTTGTGCAAAAAATATTAAGTTAAGGGTTCCTTCGTTTCTGTCCAGGCCTGTTGCATGTTTTATTTAATTATTTTTTGATTCTGTTGAAGCATGGTTGAAAAGCAATGTCTGACTTCCATTTGTTCATTTTCATAGAATTTTTATTTATTATTTTGTCAGATTTTAGTTATTTCTGTGACCATTGAAGGTTTTTTTTTCATTAAACAAGGGGTACCAACATTTTTGTCCAYGTGTGTACTTTGGTAACGATCACAAAACACACACCCATGGGCAAAAACATGATCATCTACTTTCGCCTTTTGGCAGTGGACGATAAACTGACAAAGTCACAGGATGGACACAACAAAAGACAGGACAAGTATATCAGAAAGCCACTAGTGCAAACATGCATTGCAAGCCATTAAAATATCAATTGGTCTTTTCTGAAACAAAATTTTTCATCCACAGTTTTTAGACACCAAAACTTACTAGCATTTATTTGTCCCTAACGACATATCTTAACTTATGTATGTAGTTGTGTGTATCTAAACACTTAATCAGTAAAGAAGTAACATAGCAGCGTGGAAGGACCACATGTTCGATGATTGTAATTGTTGCATTCTTCTTTTTTTTTACACAGTCCTCAAATGAAATAAAGCAAGTGGAACATGTACCTAAAATGCACATGAGTCAACAACATGAGAGTCTCACCACTTCACCATCCCTGGAAAATGACAGCATGCTGCTTCCACATGAAAGGGTTGTCAGCGATTTCTCGTGGCTCAATGAGAAAAGTCAGGAGGAAATTTCCATCCTGAAAGCCAAGGAGTTTGAAGAGGAAGAGTCATTCCTGTACGGGACTGAAACATCTTCCCTGCTTGGAGGTCATGCCAAACTACTTGTTGATATGAAACAGCCCCATCAAATGGCGCTATCCACATTTGCCTCTGCCAGCCTGGACAAAATGGAGTGTGAGAAAATCAAGAATATTCTGAATAGTCTGGGTGAAACATCAAACAAAGGCAAGATGATGGTACAGACACGAAGGCAAAATGAAGGCAGTGAGGCGTTTCCTGCAGTTTTGACTTCAGACACAACAATGGCAAGACTGAATAACCTGAAAGCTTTGGAATCTTTACAATCTCTGATAAAAGGTAAAAACCTTTGTCATTTACTAGATATTCAGCTAGATTGTTTTTAAGATACCATATTTTACTGTAYATATGTATTCAGTTTTATTTATTATAATCACTTTTGTAAGTAGCAAAGCAGGGTTAACACTTCCACTTTCATTAAGTTGCTTAAATCTTTTCAAGATGATTCTCCCTCAGTTGTACTCAAGAGTTTCTGTCCGGGATCACAGAGCAAAAAAAAAAAAACACAGATGACAGTTTATTTATTGGTTTGGTTGGGGTTTTTTGTTATTCCTACAAACAGWTGTCTTATTACCATTATTTAATAAGTGCTGGCCCAGCAATAAATTGATGCATTGTTAGGACTAGTTTTTTGAGCTTACAATGATGRAAAAACACTGGTTTAGCACCAGAACCTTTGGGTGCAAAAACCCCCATAGAGACAAACAAGTCTATAACGACCATTGAGCCACTGACCTTCACTGGAAGGTAAGAGAACAGCATTTAAAAATGGCTAGTCCAAAAATAAAAATAAAAACTACAGCCATGAATKCCCAATCCTAATCATGTCAAGGTTTATTATTATTTTTAATCCAAAGTGTACTTTAGAAGATTAAATTATATATGACGGCAACCCCATTGGATACARAGTCGTGACAAGGTGGGTATGAAACGACCTGTGGTGACAAAAGCTGCAAAAGTATTACTCTGTATCACAGATTGACCTGAAGTCATTGAATGAGATTATTTTTGCTCACTCTTGCCAAATTAAACACTAATGAACCAGTTAAAGTAGGCAATAATCACTAGTTTTCTACAATTTCAACATGCAACTCAATAACTTCCCATTATTTATTAACAGATAGACAGGCGCGTTATGGTTTTAAACTATGAATATGATTATTGAAAATGTAATCAATTATAAAAAGAAATGGTAGAAAATGGAGTTTGTTTGAAGAGAAGAATAGGAGTAAACTCTAAAGTTTGACCAGCGGTCMCTGTAGAGTCATGGCTGTTTTGATGGGAACTTTAAAAAGAAAAACATGAATTTTTCTTTTACATTAACATGTCCACTCACCAAATGGCTTGCTATGAAAATTAAATGAGACAAAACTATGATCTGATTTTCATGTTTTATTTAATTGTCAAAGGATTTTGTGTCAGCTGAGGATTTATCCAGTAAGAAACTAAAACCACTCTGTTACATGATTTTGTCCTATTACATTTAATTGTATTGTTTTACATAATGATCTGTTTGTTTCTTTTTTTTTTTCGTTTGTTTTTTTCTATCAGTGACAAAAGAGAAACAGATAAAAAGTCATGGGCAACCTGAAACATCACATGACAAAAAGAAGGTAAGAATTTTCCAAGCAATATGAGAATCAGTTATAAAATAAAACATGAAAATATCCACAAACAGCGTTTTAAACTTGTTTTCCTAACTGCGTTTTAGGTCGGTGACGGTGAAGACAGAAGTTCGATAAAAGTTAAAATAAAACAAATGGAAACCCTGGCAAAAGAACTGGACGAAATATTGAAACAAAAAGGCAAGCTTTTCTTTTTAAGTCATATTTGTTTCGTATTTTCTTTCACCACCAATATTTATTGGTGTGTTATTTATTGGTATTCTTTCTACAATGGTATTCCTTCTACAATATTTATTGGTATTCTGTGTTTTTGCAGGAATAGGTTTTATATCTTCAGTAATGGGTTTTTACTGCCAGAAGTGTGAGGAGTTCATTGGAGATTTTAATTCTGCTGAGAAACATGCAGAGATCCACTCCCAGAGCAGCTCCAAGAGTGTGAGTTACTGTCTGCACTTTGCTCTGAAAATTGTTGGGTTTTAATTTGCATTGCATTACTTTTTAAATTGTTCTCCCAACACAAACAAGCTAGACACAGCATGTTGAATGATACCACTTAAGTGACCTCCAGAAATTGCGACATTTGTCAGCTTTTCTCCCTAAAGCATAATTATATTGTAGAACTAATTATTTTCATCATATAAACTGACAAAAATGTTTATTTGTAAACAGTAGAATAAGTGTAAAAAGAACCCTGAGTCTGTCACTCCCTGAAAGCCCTCTTAATATTACAGGCAGACTAGCAGGTCTTTTTTTTTTCATAAGCATGGCTGATGGCACTTTGGCGCTGTGCAGAATCTACGGCGTAGCGTAGTCGCAGGGAAAATTTAAAAAAATTGGGATCAGAGGCACAACTGTCACTTTAAACACACTAGACAGGCCTATTAGCCAATCAGAAACAGCATGGGGGCAGCGACTTGCATCTTGGCAAAACTTTGATTTAAGTCCAGCAGAAGTTTAAGTGGTGCTCAAAATAAAATAATTTATTTGTTAAAACAAGTTTTAAAAAGAATTGGAGACRATGTTGAAGGTGGTAGGTTTAAAAAAACAGCTGTCAGTGAAGCTAAACTTCCAAAGAGAGAGTGAATGTTTTTGAAACATAATCTTCTTAATGTTTATGTTTATGCTCGGTGATAAACTTCGACACTGTAAGGGTGTTTTTGCCATWGTGTTCTTAAATTCAAAAGGGTGATATTTTAAAAAATAAATTGCAGGTACTCCTTTTGCTCAGTTCAAAATAACTTAAAACTGCATTTTAAAAATGTGCTTCATTGATAGAAATCTGCCTTTTAGAATAGTTATTTTATAATAATATACTGGTATTGTCATTGTATATGTAGACAGAAGATGGGATTGTGAGGGGAGTGGTGTCAGAAAAAGTTCAGGCTCAGGATTTTTTCCCCAGCCTTGCATAAAGCTTTTCATAGCTTAAAGAATAACCATTGAAAATGAAACAGAAAATGTTAGAAAATCGCCTAAATAATAATAAT